GGATCGTATTTACAATATTACGCGCATGCGTGCAATACAATTTAAAACATATGCGTGAACCAAGTAGTGTGCTCGGGCGACTCTCCATAACAGGTAATAAATGTATTGATAAATGTCACGCTAACATCATTCTAAGTTGTTACTCACCGTGAAAGCAAGAACTACATCACTACCAGCGTGAACAAATTCCTGGTAGGCATTTCTGACCAATTCTGGGTGTTCCAAAATAACTTCTGGAACAAATGGACCGGCTTTGAGATAGCCCCTTCTCTCGAAATGGAAGATATATCCTTCCGCCACTATAACTGTTTCGTCATCTTGTAGCCTTTCAAGCAGCCCTGTGAACACAGACGTTACACTGCAGTAGATTGAACTAATACACAGGACGAAGATGGTGTGCCAGAATCAGTGTCACTTAAAGCGCAGAAAAATCATCGAATCAAATATGAGAAGTTATTCGTGTTAATATAATCCAGCTGATTTTGTGCAACGGTGAAATTCAGATAGTATAATTCAAATTCTACAAAGACGTCTTGTAACATTACATGATATAACGCCTTTCAATGACACTGTTTTATCCACGATCTGTTTTGTTTTGTTTGTTGTATTTAAAAAAAATGGAATGGTTGAAGACTACTGTGTGTGACTGGCTGGTAAAATTAATATGTGTTCCGCTAAATGTAAAAAAAAAATGTTTTTTTGTTGTTGTTTTTTTACACGATATATGTCTTTCGCTCAATGCAAGGTTTCAAGTTAATCTGTATGATCTCCTACCAGAAATGAAATCCTAAAATCGCCCTGCTGGTTCTCATGATCTGTCCAGAGGACAGTTTCCCCGTGTATATTGATGGAAATAACAAAGTTAAAATGAAATTATATATTTTTGTTTCTCACCAATCAAGACTCTAATATAAGACTATTTAATAATAAATGTATTTAAATAAATGTCTGGTAATGATTTGTTTTTGTATATGTTGTTTTGTTTAGTGATTTATGTCAAACAAAAAGTCCAATAGTCTAATACACCGATTAGTGCATAATTATATATAATAAATTAGCGTAATTATGTCTTCAAAATCCGATGGAGTGACGTAATCTTTGGTCAGTAGGTCATCACTGCTCACCCACGCGCATATGCATTAACGATAACGTATCACGCAGTTATTTGTTTTACACTAACCTTTGACCTTATTCGACATGGCGGAATGATAATAGTGTATGTAGTCGTTCGTATATAAGTAACTGAAATATACAAATATTGCACGACATAAATAATCACACGTGTTGGTAAATCAATAGTGAAGCTGAGCAGCAATGACATGCAGGTGCACATAGATACTAAAGGGCGGAACTTCTGGTAGACTTAGTTCACGTGATAACAATCCCGTGTGTGCAACTTGAATACGGTCAGAGGAAACTTGGAACGAATAATGCAACATTATATACATATATACGTATGCCTGGTTACAAACTGTTCGAATCGAGAGTGAAATTAACACCATATTTTTTTTTTTATTTGTCTACACCGTCCGCTGAACAGTACTTAAAATAACACCGCGGCTTCCAGATGGGCCACACAAGTCCTTGTTCAACAGTATATTCCGGAATACACGATATGTACATAGTGTCTCAGACAAATTCGCACGTCAGAATCGTCGTTGTCTACATGTGACAAGACAACTTATAGAACATTAAGCTGTACGACATGTATAGGTACATAATTCAGGAAGAGATACCTTACCTCTCGTAGTTTCTCGCTTGAATACCTGGACGTAACTGATGACCTTGCGGCGTTTTTGTGAGTGACGTGTTCTATATACGCACAATGAAGGTCAAATAGTGCACCTACTAATTATGGTGCATTTCTCACATGCTAGCATTAAGCATATGAATTGTTAGGTTGGAGCAAATATTATAATTGATATGGACATCTTTAATAGTAAAAGCACCGTCATAAATTCACCCAATTATGGATTGCATGCTCCGAGGTCGCGTTTACCTGAATTAAGTTTATGTTCTGATAGACATAGCACTTTGGTCAGTGTGCCATCTAGCGACCAGGATGGGAAATGTTGATTAAGTGAACATACGCTCCTATTATTTCCTTCAAAGGGAAAGAAATTCTGTGTAGTTCACCAATATGTTTATAATTTGACAAATTCATTCAGTAGTGTTAATAAACAATACAGTCCCGCGATCTAAATAGTTTAAGTAAATATATCATAAAG